GTCATTGTTGTTTGGCGGGTCTGGGCTGGGGATTCGAACCCGCCACCTTAGGTGTACATGGCTGGCGCCTTAGCTGGTTGAGCTATAGGCGCCGAGCCAGAGGTCAAGCACTTTTAAAAGACAAAAGAGTCTGGGTAGGGGTAAGGCTCAACAATAATGTTACTTATTATATACAATATTTAAAACAAGCAAAATCAAAAGCTTATGGCAGATAAATCTACAGCATAAAACAGGGTCTTAACATTAGAAGGAAATTCATTTCTCTTACCTCTTTCCTAGGAAACAGAGTACATACCAGATTAATTTCTTAAATTATTTACTGTGTTAATGGAAATACTTCTGTATTAAGTGAAAAATGCACTTATATTAATGAAATATTTGCTTAAAATTCAACCATCAGGCCAGGTACAGTGGTGCATGCCTGTAATCCTAGCATTCTGGGGCCGAGGTGGGAGGATGGCTTGAGGTCAGGAGTTTTAGACCAATCTGAGCAAGAGACCCTGTCTCTATAAAAAAAACACAAAAATTGGGCAGTGCCTGTGGCTCAAGGAGTAGGGTGCCAGCCCCATATGCCAGAGGTAGTGGGCTCAAACCCAGCCCTGGCCAAAAAAAAAGAAAAGTAAAGTAAAGAAAAATTAGCCAGGCACGGTGGCACTTGTCTATAGTCTCAGCTACTTGGGAGGCTGAGCCAAGGGGATGGATTGAGCCCAGGAATTTGAGGTTGCTCTGAGCTAGGCTGAGGCCATGGTACTCTAACCTGTTTGACAGTCTCACTCTGTCTCCAAAAAACCCCACAAAAACAAACAAAAAAATCAACCATTATTAATTTGGCCAACGCAATGCTGATAATGCAGCCTCCTAGTGGTGGAGCATGGTAATACTAAACAGCAAAGATGGAGTTTTTGTAATGTGGTTACAGGAATTCATTCAAATAACTAGATTTTGCTGCTTAACTGTACCTTTTTTGCTGTGGCATATTTTTACTGTAGCATGGAATTCATACTTTGCCACACTATGTAGAAAAGAGTTCATAGCAGGCTTATCCTGAGAAAGGTGTGCTTGTATTTTTCTTTTTTTCTTTTTAAAACAGAGTCTCATTATGTCACCCTCAGTAGAGTGCCTTAGCGTCCCAGCTCACAGCAGCCTCAAATTCTTGGGTTTAAGCAATTCTCTTGCCTTAGCCTCCCAAGTAGCTGGGACTACAGGTACCTGCCACAACGCCTGGCTATTCTTTGGTTACAGTTGTCACTGTTGTTTAGCTGGTCCAGGCCAGATTTGAACCTGCCAGCCTTTGTGTATGTGGCTGGTGCTGTAACCACTATGTTATGGGTGCTGAGCCCATGCTTATATTCTTTTTTTGAGACAGTCTCACTTTGTTGCCCTGAATAGGATGCTGTGGGATCCTATCTCACAGCAATCTCAAACTCTTAGGCTCAAGAGTTCCCTTTGCCTCAACCTCCCTAGTAGCTGGGACTATAGGCATCCACCACAATGATGGGCTAATTTTTTTCTATTTTTAGTGGAGATGGGGTCTTACTCTTGCTCAGGCTGGTCTCGAACTCCTATGCTCAAGTAATCTACCTGACACAGCCTCTCAGAGTGATAGGATTATAGGCATGAGCTACCAGGCCTGGCTCAGAGCCTATGTTTTAATTTTGTAAAAAAAAAAAATTTTTTTTTGAGTGACCATGGCATCACTGCTCACAGCTATCTCAAGCTCTTGGGCTTACGCAATTCTCTTGCCTCAGTCTCCCTAGTAGCTGGGACTACAGGCTCCTACTGCAATGCCCAGCTACTTTTTTGTTGTTGTTGTAGTTGTTGTTGTTTAGCAGGCCCAGGCTGGGTTCAAACCCACCAGCCCTGGTGTATGTGGCAGTGCCGTAACCACTGAGCTACAGGTGCCAAGCCACTATGTCACACTTTCACTAAAAAAGTACTGTCCCTTCCCCTAATTTCCTGGAAGACATCTGAAACACCCCTCCATGTGTTAGATACTGGAAAAAATTATGGTAACTCAGATCTGTTTAGCTCCAGACTCAAGTGTTCTTAAAAACCAAGGCTTACTGCCTCCCTTCAGCACACCAGGCCACACAGGGACAATGGGATAAAAGACTTACTAGGACTTACCCAGGCAAACTAAAAAACATTGTAACCCTAGTTACACCACACTTCTCTATTCCTGAATTGTAGTCTATTTCCAGGCAACAGTTCCTATCTGAACAAATATATATATATATATATTTTTTAAAAACAGAGTCTCATGTTGTTGTTATCCAGGCTAGGGCTCAAACAATCCCCTGCCTTAACCTCCCACGTAGCTGGAAATATAGGCATGTGCCACCACAGTCAACTAATTTTTTACCATGTTGCTCAGGCTGGTCTTGACTTCCTGACCTTAAGCAACCCTCCCACACTGGCTTCCCAAAGTGCTAGGATCACAGCACCATGACCAGTTATCAACAAATCTCTAATGATATACAGGCAGTCATATAAGCTAGAAAAAAGCTAGGCTCAGATGCTAGCTGGTTGAAGGGAAGATTTAGTTTCTAAGTGCCAAATGTCAAAAAGGTCAGGGGAAATAGATACTGTGATATTTGGTACGCACAGCAAATCCCTAAAACACTGCTACGAATTTAAAAATAAATGATATACAACATCATGATGATTGAACTTACTTCTCTAGTTGAGGATTTGTGTAAAGAATATACTGCTGTTCTTGCCATTTCCAAAGCAGTCTTTAGAAAAGCCATATCTGTCCCTGTGAAGAGTAGAAAAAACTCCCATTCACATTATGTAATCTTATCAAAATAGATTAAATGAATAGGATTTAGAAACATTTTCTTCCATCAAAAATAGCTGCTTAAAAAAAAAAAGAAACATTTTCTTCCAAAGTCCAAAATAGCCACTTCAAATTCCTTCTACAAATAAGACAGAGTATAAATAAATAAAACATCAGAATATTCTGTTAAGGTTGACAGAATAAAACTAGAATTACTGTCTTGATTAAATAAGGCTAAAGTAAAAATTCTGATATTATATTCCAACTCCACGACTTTCAAAAAGAGAAGGGAACACATAGTGTAGTTATCAGGATCATCTTGGTAGAGGGCAGGTACTTTTAAAACTATTTATGTCTTTTCCTCCTTTTATTGACTTCCTACCCTCCTTTCCCTCAGTAAACACAAAATTAATAGCCACGGTAAGTCAGTGTTACTTACATGCACATGTTGAAATGCCTGGGTCTGTTAAGGCTTTAAAAACAGATGCTGACAGTATAAAATCCTTTGTAAGTTTCATAATCATTCATAAAGATTAGGCAAATTATGGTTGAAAGCAACAATAGTCTAAATAATAATAAATGAGACAAGTCTTTATTTAATACAAATTTGTAAAAACAGAGGTTGAAAAATTCAACTCCCTAGCCATGTGTTGAATAAATCTCTCTTTTTTTTTTTTTTGGAGACAGTTTCACTCTGTCTCATCTGGGTAGAGTGCCATGATAACATAGCTCAAAGCAACCTCAAACTCTGGGGTTTGAGCAATCAATCCTCTTGCCTCAGCTCCCCAAGGTGTGGGACCTATAGGTGCTCGCCGGAACGCCCAGCTGGTTTTTCTATTTTTAGTAGAGACTGGGTCTCTCTCTTGCTTGGGCTGGTCTCAAACTCCTGAGCACAAGCAATCCACCTGTCCTGGCCTCCCAGAGTGCTAGGATTACAGGTGTCGGCCACCATACCCGGCAACAAATTGAAATTTAAATTGTAATAAATTACAGGTCATAGTTTATTTAATGAACAGTGATAAAATCACTTAATCCAAAATAGTCAATGATAAAATAATTCTGAAAACTTACTTTTCTACAAATACACGAAGGTATTTGATACTAACCTTTATTATTTTTGGTCCCAAAGGGAGGATTCATAATTACTGTGTCAAATGACTTGGACATTCTGTTAGATAATGAGAACACATCACATTGAACCATGTCAACATTTGTTAACTCAAATTCCTCCACATTCCTGTTAAATATTTCCAATGCATCTTCATCTATGTCAAATCCAACACACAACCTGTAAATACAAAACATAACACAAAGAGTGGCACCTTTATCTCCCAAGTCAAAGCAAAAACAAAACTAGCTATTTTACCATATATGTTTTAAAACCAATTGGCAAAGTAAGAGTGTTGCTTTTCAACACCATGTTTTCCTAATCTGGGAGAGGGTGGAAACTCAGGTCTGTATAAAAGGGATTGCTGCTGTTATCATTTTTATTTTATTTTTCATTGTTTTCATCATCTGCCTACATTCAACATGTATTCAGTATCAATTTTTGCTACCCCCATCTCATACCATAGAGTCCAATAAATATAATTCAATTGATCCTATTTATATTTCTTATTAAAGCCACCCCGTATCCAAATAGTATATATTGGATGACCTACCCTGCTCCTAACATTGCAGTTCCGATGCTCAGCACTCCACAACCACATCCCAGATCTGCAACCATTTTATTTTCAATGTCATCGTATGTGTTATGGATTGTATAGAGCATACATGCTAAAAAAAATTTTTAAAAATATTAGGGAGTAAGCAAGCAAGCTGATGAATCCAAGTTGTGCAAATAACTTTTTTTTTGAGACAAGAGTCTTGCTGCCCTGGGCACAGTGCATGCGTGTGATTGTAGCTCACTGCAACCTCTAACTCCTGGGCTCAAGTGATCCTCCTGCCTCAGCCTCTTGAGTAGCTCCATAACACATAGCTAGTTTTTCTTTTCTTCTTCTTCTTCTTTTTTTTTGTTAAAACAGAGTCTCATTACATCACCCTGGGTAGATTGCCAAGGTGTCACAGCTCAGAGCAATCTCAAACTCTCGGGCTTAAGAAATTCTCTTGCCTCAGCCTCCCAAGTAGCTGGGACTATAGGTGCCCACCACAACGCCTGGCTATTAGTTTTTCTAGTTTGGGCTTTGCTCTTGCACAGTCTGATCTCAAACTCCTGAGCTCAAGCAATCTCCACTCCTCACCCCACCCCCTCAGCCTCCCCGAGGGGTAGGATTACAGGCATGAAACACTGCACTCCGCCAAATGACTCTAAAAACATCTATTTTGCATTATTTAGTCAGTTCCCTCAAATTGTGTTCCAGATTATTTAAAAAAAAAAAAAGTGTAGTAAGTGGCATCATAAAGGAGGCTGTTACTACGTACGTTCCAATGGTTCTCAAAAACTAATCTCTGCTGACAATGCCAATAAAGACAAAACTGTGACTAATTTCTGAGGTCACAGACGAGTGAAATGAGAAGAATAAAGTCAAAATGCCTTATTAGTCCCCAGCCTGTTCAAAACACTGCCATATAGACATAAAAAACCAGTTTTTTCTTTGATGCTGAATTGGTACTTTTAGTAAAGAATGGTAAGAATAAACAGGTTTTGGCTCGGCGCCTGTGGCTCAAGTGGCTAAGGTGCCAGCCACATACACCTAAGGTGGCAGGTTGGAATCCAGGCCAGGCCCGCCAAACAACGACGGCTGCAACCAAAAAATAGCCAGGCGTTGTGGCGGGTGCCTGTGGTCCCAGCTACTTGGGAGGTAGAGGCAGGAGACTCGCTTGAGTCCAGGAGTTGGAGGTTGCTGTGAGCTGTGATGCCATGGCACTCTACCCAGGGGGACAGCTTGAGGCTTTGTCTCAAAAAAAAAAAAAAAATACACTTCCTTGTTAAAATAACATTTGGCAACCTTGTATCAGTCTCCAAAACTGTTCTGAAATTTTACTAATCTATGAAATCTATATATCATCAAAAAAGCATTCATATCACAAGGACAAAGAAAATTTTTGCTACAAGTGTTGCTCATTATAAGCTAGAACACATCATAAGCTCCTACATCTACAATACAGCCTTTAAAAACATATTCATAATCTACAAATGAGATCTGATAATACAATTACTGAAGAGCAGGGCAGAAGCTGCTGAAATTTGAAAGGGCATCTTTCAAATACTCAAGGGTCTTTGGATACACTGAAGGTTAAACAAGAATAACACCAGTATCTCCCTGTGGATAGTTGGGCCCAACAGGACTGCTGGCTATCACTGATGCCTGAGGATGCAGAGGTATTAAAACACAGTTATAGGGGCATTTCGGACTGACTGTGCTATCACATTCATTGCTACAAGTGCTTTTGAAGCTAGTATCTCAACGAATAAGTATACCCAAGTGCATGTTACACACTGGATGTGAAACAGCTAGTGTTTTTGTTTTTTTAAATTGCATTCCAGGCTGGGTACCAGCGGTCATGTCTGTAATCCTAGCACTCAAGGAGTTGACGGAAAGGATCCCTTGAGCTCAGGAGTTTGAGACCAGCCTGAGCAAGAGCAAGATCTGTCTCTACTAAAATAGAAAAATTAGCTGGGCATTGTGGCAGGCACCTGTAGTACCAGCTACTCAGAAGGTTGAGGCAGGAGGATCGCTTGGGCCCAAGAGTTTGAAGTTGCTATGAGCTAGGCAGATGCCAAGGGACTCCATCCTGGGCAGCAGAGACTCTGCCTCAAAAATAACTAAGTAAATAAATTTTAAAAATTGGATTCCATTAAAAAACACTACTAAGTTGAGAAAACTGCTCCTACCTTAAACTCACTAATTTTGTGCAACGTTTTAGTTGGAATGACCATATCTTGGAGTTTCACTAGCAGTTTAGAAACAACTATTTTGGAGCTGAAAAAAAATTCCTCCTTGCAGGTGCTCTGAGCAATGTTTTCCTGTGCTAACATATTTATGAAATATGAATGGATGGGTGTGGTGGCTCACACCTGTACTAGCACTCTGGGAGGCCAAGGCAGGTGGATTGCCCTGAGCTCAGAGGTTTGTGACCAGCCTGAGCCAGAGTGAGACCCCCGTCTCTACAAACAAACAAACAAACAAACAAGCCAGGCATTGTGGCGGGTGCCTGTAGTTCCAGCTAGTTGGGAGGCTGAGGCAAGAGAATCGCTTAAGCCCAAGAGTTAGAGGTTGCTGTGAGCGATGATGTCACAGCACTCTACCAAGGGCCACAAAGTGAGACTGTCTCAATAAAAAATAAATGAATAAATATGAATGAATTTTCCTGTATTCTTTCCTGTACTCTAGCATGAAGCTACAATACTAATTCTCAGATTAAGTTGAAATGCATCATCACCTTTATATAGCATGTGCTCTGGTTTTGTTAAACTCTGCTACCAACCATGGAAGGCAGAGTATATATAGCATAGAAATCAATGTTCCAGCAAAGTTGCTATAATTAATTGATCAGTGTTTATCAAATATTTACCGTGCTTCTAAATAGTACCAGCAACTCTTCTGGGCACTAGGAATTGAGATGAAAGACTAACTCCTTGCCCTCAAAGAGTTTATAATGAGAAAAAAAATAAAAGATGCCTACCAGTGTTAAAAAGTATGCGGAAAATTAAACAGTACGACGATAAAGTGTATGTCTCTGAGGAGAGCTTTTAGGCGCAGCGTCAAGGAAGGTTAAGGAAAAATTCTTTTTTCCAAATAGCAAGAGCGTGGTGAACTAGTCGCCCTACCTGCAATGTGCGGCCTGGTGGGATACTGTTCTAGAAGTATCTTGGGCTTTTCGAATCCATCCACTTGTTGCAGGCGACTCTCTAGTTCCTTAAGTCTTAATTTCTTCATTTTTGGGGGGGGGGGGTTGTTGTTACGTGTGAGCTCGCAAGGTGTAACTGCACAGGATCTGCGAAGAAATCTATTTAACCAGGATCTGGTTTCCTCTCCAGCCCCTTTTTCGGCGCGGATGTCCGGGAGCCGGACAGGAGACGCGCTCCACTGAGAAACTGGGACGCAGGGCGCGAAGGGCCAGACTCGATCGCGTCCCCGAATATCACAAGCCGCCCTCAGGCCCCTAGAAGAGGGTAGCGGAGTGTGCCTAGAGCGGCTTAGGACCCGGACGCCAAGTCCCGGCACCTCGGGAAACAGAACGTCCCCGCCCCTCGGGAAGCAAACAACACCGAGACCGCGGCCGGAAGCGCCGCTGCGCACGCGCTCGCCTCCCAGCGGCCCGGAGCCGCGCTGCAACCTCTGTCCGGCGGAACCCCGGGCCTTCTGGTCCCTCCGCACCTGCAGCGCCCACCCTACTCTCCAGACCCTGGACCAGCCCAAGCCGCCGGTCCCATGCCCATTATCTTCTGGTTTGCCCTGAGTACTTACCAGCCCTCAAAGGATGGGGAAAGAAATACCGGGAAAGTGATGCAGAAGGGAGGGTGTAAGTCAGTCACCGTGTTTTATTCCCAGCGTGACTCTTCTGCTTTGTGTCTCTCAGCTCCCCACTCAGAAACTAGCGATCTCCGCTCACCTTTGCTTCTTTCATCATTCGGTGTCCTACTTTATCGTGTTTTTTTTTTTTTTTTTTTTGCTTGCCTCTTTTTAGGTCGGCTGTGTCACTTACCTCAATCTCATAGGGGAAGTGATATCAGAGAAACCAAAAGAGAGAGTTTAAATGAGAGAATGGGCAGTGGTGTCAAAGGCTAGAAAGAGGTCAGGTATTTTAGAGGAACATAAATCAAGTCGTAGTGGATTGTGGAGTGAGTGGAAGTTTAGAAAGAGAGTAAATGTGAACAGTTCTCAAGAAATGGGGCTACAAAAAAGAGAGTGGTTTGATGTACTAGTAAGGTTGGGGGAAGCTTTCTAGGATAGGAAGAGATAAGAAAACATCTAAATTCTGATAAGATGGAGCTAATATAAAGGGACGGGTTTAAAAAGGTGGGGGAGGAGGGGAGGGGATAGGCGTGCACCCACTTAATGGGTACAATGTAAGGGTATATGGCACACCTTTTGGGTGCGGGACACAACTACAAGAGGGACTCTACCTAACAAACAGAAATACCGTAACGTCGTTATTTGCACTGTCGCATTAACCTGAAATAAAAATAAATAATTAATTAAAATAAAACAAAATACAAGAGTTAGGATCCTGAGAAGGCAGGATCCAGTACTTTGAGTAAAAAGGATTGTCCTTAGCCTGTGGGATAGACACCTCTTTTCATAATTTTTATTTATTTATTTATTTATTTTTTGAGACAGAGTCTCATGGTCGCCCTGGGTAGAGTGCCTTAGCATCACAGCTCACAGCAACCTCTAACTCTTGGGCTTAAGTGATTCTCGTGCCTCTGCCTCCCAAGTAGCTGGGACTACAGGCGCCCGCCACAACACCCAGGCCAGGTTGGAACTCGCCTGCCTCAGTGTATGTGGCCAGTGCCCTAACTATGAGCTACGGACGCCAAGCTACCTCTTTTCATTATTAAGAGAAGAAAAAAAAGGAGTAAATGGATGCTGATGGAGTAGTGAAGTGGTTCTGAGGCCGCTACTTTGTATGAAAAAGTATTCAAAGTTATCTGTTATGAGAATTAAATAAGTTAACACATAGGAAGTTCTTTAAACATAAAGCACTTTGTGGGAGGTGTCTGGGGCTCAGTGAGTAGGGCTGCGGCCCCATATACCAAGGGTGGCGGGTTCGAACCCAGCCCCAGCCAAACTGCAAAAAAAAAAGAAAAAATAATTTAAAAAAAACATAAAGCACTTTGTCACACAGCAAATGCCCAATTAATGTTACTTCATAGTGGCGATGGAATAAGGGATTTGAGCCAAAAGGATAAAGTTAGCCAGATGTACAAAAGACAATTGGCCCATCTGAAGTTGAAGGCCATTTTTTCTTTTTGTTAAACATTTTTTGAGATAATTGCAGATTCATATGTAATCAGAAAACATAACAGAGATACTGTGTATCTTGTTTAAATGAAAGAGTAGGTAGTGGTGTTAAAGGCTGGAAAGACATCAGGTTTGCCAGGTCCAGCCTCTTGGTGGGTTATAGTCCTGGCTCTTCGGCTCCTTGCTTGAATGTATCATGAGCAGGGCTGGTAAAACTGAGTGACCGCAAACCGGAAGAAATTCCACAGAATTACTACAGAAAAAAAGGAAGCCATAAAAAGTGAAAATATGTTCCAGAAAGAGGAACAGGTCAATCACCACAAGTGGAGAAAGACACCAAGGCTGCCCAGATAGTTTCCTTTTATTGGCCTGGTCTGGGGGAATATTACCGAATGATTGAAAGGTGTTCTCCAATAGGTTGTAGCCGCTTAAACGCCACAGGAGTATAAACCTCAAAGCCTCAGGGTCCTGCTTTTCCCTTAACTGTATTTTTCTGCAGTCCTTCCCCTGATTGGTTCCCAGCTTCTCTGGCCCTAGGAACCGCCCTTCTGACCTGCATCTTCCACCTACAGATTTGGTCCCTGTCTAACAGATTTCATAGAATAGGAGCAGAAATCAAGTTGTAGTGGCAATTTATTCAAATTTCTTTTAACCATATTTTAAAGATTTTACAGTACAAGTCTTGCATTTCTTTTGTTAAATTTATTCCTAACCATTTTATCCTCTTGATGCTATAGTAAATGGAATTGTTTTCTTAATTTTATTTTCAGATTATTATTGCTAGTGTCTATAAATATAATTAATATATATGTATATTTATTTTTGAGACAGAGTCTTACTTAAGTCACCCTCGGTAGAGTGTTGTGGCTTCTCAGCTTATAGCAACCTCAAACTCTTGGACTTAAGCAATCACTTGCCTCAGCCTCCCAACTAGCTGGGACTACAGAGGCCTGTCACAATGCCCAGCTATTTTTTTTTCGTTGTTATTGTTGTAGTTGTCATTGGGCTGGATTTGAACCCACCAGCCCCAGGTATATGTGGCCAGCGCCCTAACCTCTGAGCTATGAGCACCAAGACAATAATTAATATTTCTTATTGATCTTATACCTTAGAGCTTTTTAACTCTAACAGTTTTGTGCATGTATGGATTTTTTTTTAATTTTTTCTTTTAGAGATGGAGTCTCACTTTATCACCCTTGGTAGAGTGCTGTGGCGTCACAGCTCACAGCAACCTCCAATTCCTGGGCTTAGGTGATTCTCTTGCCTCAGCCTCCCGAATAGCTGGGACTACAGGTGCCTGCAGCAACACCCGGCTATTTTTTTGTTGTTGTTGCAGTTTGGCCAGGGCCAGATTTGAACCCGCCACCCTCAGTATATAGGGCTGGTGCCCTACTCACTGAGCCACAGGCGCCGCCCTATGGATTTTTTTTTTTTTTTTTTTAGTAAATCTATGTATAAGTTCTTGTCTTCTACAGAGACAGTTGTACTTGTTTCTTTACAGTATTTTTTTTGTTTGTTCTACCCTGATCATCTTGGGTAGAACATTTAGTATAAGACTGAGTAACAGTGGTAAAAGTAGGCATCCTTTTCTTGTTCCTGATCTTAGGGCGTAACCTTTCAGTCTTTTGCCATTAACCATAGTTGTTAGTTGTGCTTTCATAGATGTCCTTTATCAAGTTGATAACATTTCCTCAAAGGTAATAGTTCTAACGCACCATTCAGCAAAATTGTGTGTGTGTTTTCTCCCTGAAATACTGAGTCAGGAGCAAGGAACTTCTGACAGAGGAATAGATTCCAAATTGTTGCTTTGACAGAGGGATACACCCATGTGGGACAGGGCATGGGTGTTATTGGCAGGAGAACGGACCAGAAAGTCTGTGACTGAATAGAGAAAGAAGTGAAAAGGAAAGGAATGAGATTGAAGGGAATTGTAGTATGAAGGGTGAGGACTTACTAACATTAATAAAGGGATTAGCAGGAGAAAGGGAGAAATGAGAGATCCAGAATGGTAGAGGTTAAGGGAATGGAATATTGGGCTGGGTGCGGTGGCTCACACCAGTAATCCCAGCACTCTGGCCGAGGTGGGTGGATCAGTTGAACTCAAGAGATCAACCTGAGCAAAAGTGAGACTCCCCCTCTCTAAAAAATAACCAGTTGTGGTGGGTCCCTGTAATCTCAGCTACTTGGGAGGCTGAGGCAAGAGGATCACTTGAGCCCAAAAGTTTGAGGTTGCTGTGAGCTATGATGCCACAGTACTCTACTGAGGACAAGACTCTGTCTCAAAAAAAAGTTGGGGGGATTGTAATATTGAGGTTTAAGATTTGCTAAAAAAAATAAAAAAAGCCTTGGTGCCTGTGGCTCAAGTGGCTAAGGCGCAAGCCACATACACCTGAGCTGGCGGGTTCTAGTCCAGCCCGGGCCTGCCAAACAACAATGATGGCTGCAACACCCCCTACCCCCACCCCCGCCAAAAAAAAAAAAACAGCCGGTATTGTGATAGGCACCTGTAGTGCCAGCTACTTGGGAGGCAGAAGCAAGAGAATCGCTTGAGCCCAGGATTTGGAGGTTGCTGTGAGCTGTGATGCTATGGCATTCTACCCAGGGTGAAAGCTTGAGGCTCTGTCTCAAAAAAAAAGAAAAATATTTAAAAAAAAAAATTTTGTATATGGTACATAGGGCTGGAGGGAGGAGCAGTGATTGCAAACTGCACAAGTTACCTTTCTGAGGGATGATGAAAAAAAATTTTTTTTTTTTGAGACAGAGCCTCAAGCTGTCCCCCTGGGCAGAGTGCCATGGCATTACAGCTCACAGCAACCTCCAACTCCTGGGCGCAAGCGAGTCTCCTGCCTCCGCCTCCCAAGTAGCTGGGACCACAGGCGCCCACCACAACGCCCAGCTATTTTTTGGTTG